CAAGCCTGTGCTTGTTTCCCAGGTGTGCCAGCATTGAGGGCCCTGGCACCTTGTTCTACAGGATGGAGATAAAACCCAGTACCCTGACACAGTGTGTGGGTTGGCTCTTGCACACGGGGTGACAGAACACAGCTTTAGGGACACCAGCAGTGTGAGGCAGTGAGGGAGAAACTCATCCAACCGCCTGTGCTTGTGAGCTTTTTATACATTGCAGGTTTTAATGTGAATCCAAAGGGTGGCATTTAAGAAAATTTTCAATTTATATTCAGAGGACACAATGTTTAATAGAAAAACAGTACTTTCATTGAAAGGGAAATGAATCTGTTGCCCTGCCATACCAGGGGCATTTAGAATGACAAAAGTGCAACAAGCAAGGCGTTGTTGAGCAGGCAGGAAGCCGGGGAAACACGAGCCCTGCAGGATGCAAAGCACGTCAATGTGGGCTCTGTGGTGGGGCTCGGTGCTGCAGGAGCAGGTGCGAGCGGATCCGGGAGCCTCGGGAGGTGGGACACGAGTCCCACAGAGCCTCTTCATGCTTCAGAAGGGTGTACATCAAGGAAAAGCTCTTTCGGAAACATTTCTGATAAAAGCTGTGATAGAAGTATATGCTTTAAGTCAGTTCACAGCAGTAAAGAAGCTCTTGGGACAACCTGGCGTGATCTGTGTTGTTTAGCTTTGCCAAAAGTTCCTAGCTTGAAGTTGTCATCTATGCTATGAAACAAAACCATTTCACAGAGGTTTTCTATCACATTTTCCTCAAAAGTTAGACTGGTGTCACAGTTAAAGGGAAATAAAGTTAACACTTCAGAAAAACCCAACAACTAAAGCAGACCACAATCAAACCTCAAGTGTTATTTCTTAAAATATTCTTGAAAATTATTTCACAATTGGTTTTGGCTGTTCAAACTGATGTCTCTAAAAACCTTTTGCTCCAAGTGTTCCTTCATCTTGGACATTGTACTTCATGTCTTCTCTGAGTTATGGATTTGAAAATGAGCACAAGAATTGTCAAATTTTTCATGTGGCCTGAGAAGAAGGTCATGCTCATGACCACAGTGTGGTTTTTCAGAGTTGTCTTTACTGGAGTTTTTCCCAATGTCTACTTCTGGAGTCGAGTACTTACAGCAGGATGCCAGTACTTACTCCTCACTCTTAGAGAGGTTGTGACAGGGCTGTGGGACCAGCTGAGCATCTGAAGTCACTCAGCAGTTACTGTTCTTTGCTGAGGCTGGAAAAGTGGCATCAACAGAAGTGCAGCAGCAGCTGCTCCCAAGAACTGCACAGAGGAAGGGATGCTAAGGGTGGAGAAAGTGGTGTGAGTATAACCCATTCAGAAATATTCTGCAATACTGAAAGCATCTCATGTGTAGCATCATGAACACATTCATGTCCACTTATGATAAAAAGCTTTAAGTCTCTCAGGCCTAACTACACCTTTGCAGTTGATAAAACCATCAGCAAAGAAATAATTACAATTAAATTTGTATTTGCAGCTCACGAAGATTCTAGAGTGCCTTTTGTTTTTAAAGATTTCTTACCATTGGAAAAATGTGGAATCGTGGAATGGTTTGGGTTGGAAGGGATCTTAAAGCTCATCTTATTCCACACCCCTGGGCAGGGACACCTCCCACTGTCCCAGGCTGCTCCCAGCCCTGCCCAGCCTGGCCTTGGGCACTGCCAGGGATCCAGGGGCAGCCCCAGCTGCTCTGGGAAATCCATTCCAGGGATGGATTCCACAATTCCTGATTCCCAATCTCCCACCCAGCCCTGCCCTGTGGCAGTGGGAGCCATTCCCTGTGTCCTGTCCCTGCAGGCCTTGTCCCCAGTCCCTCTGCAGCTCTCCTGGAGCCCCTTCAGGCCCCAAAAGGGGCTCTGAGGTGTCCCTGGAGCCTTCTCCTGTCCAGGTGAGCAGGCCCAGCTGTGCCAGGCTGGCTCAGAGCAGAGGGGCTCCAGCCCTGGCAGCATCTCCGTGGCTCCTCTGGCCTGGCTGCAGCAGCCCCACGTCCTCCTGCTGCTGCTGCCCAGGGCTGGGGCAGCTCTGCAGGTGGGGTCTGAGCTGAGCCCAGGGGCAGAGGGGCAGAATCCCCCCCTGCCCTGCTGCCCACGTTGGGGCTCAGCCCAGCACAGGGGGGGTTTCTGGGGCAGCCTGAGCCCTCACCCACCAACAGCCCAAGTCCTTCCCCCAGGGCTGCTCCTGCTCCGTTCCCAGCCCAGCCTGGGGTTGTGCTCGGGGTTGCCCTGACCCAGGAGCAGGAGTTGTGCTTGGCCTTGGTGAACTTCATGAGATTGGCTCGGAGCCACCTCTCCAGCCCATCTGTGCAGAGGTTCTCACTTTGCCTTCTGAGCATCCCCTGTTGCACTCCGGGGAGCCTGAGTGCCAGCCAGGTGCTCAAGCAGAAGGTTTTGCTTCACAAAGCAAAGCTTTTAGCAGAGGCATTGCTTCAGTGTTGGGTTAGAGGTGTAAATGTCAGTCATAAATTTAATCCACCACTGCCAGCTGCTCTAATAATTGCGCTAATGAGAAGGAATAGAACAAATTGGGGAAGATTTCATAGGAACAAAGAACTGCCAATAGTATGCAGGATTTTTAACTTAAATGCTATTAGGGAAGTCTTCCTAAACAGCTAAGAATTGAGCTACTGAGCCAGTTTTCTTCATTCACAAACTGCTAAAAATAGAGGAAAGAAGCAGCAAACTTGTGAAAAGAAGGTGACAAAACTGAAGCAGACTACAACTGTGTCTGAAAGTGTACCTTGAGGCCTGCTGGGTGTACATCCTGTTTGACATCACTGAGTAGGAGAGGTTGACACTTTCCCTGTGGGACAAGGTGCTGTGTGAGGCTTTTGATTTCACATATATTCATCATGATTTTAAACTTTTTTGCAACATTATTTTTCAACAATGCTTGATCAAGATGTTGAACTTATGCCATGCTGGTTTCCTTTGTGCATAATCACCTTACTCTGATTTTTCAAATACACATTTATGGGCTTTCATGTAGGGTTTTGTATTAGTCAGGCTTTTTTTTTTTTTTTTTTCCTGCATGCAAATACTGTTATCAATGCTGGGACAGATGATGACACATTTAGATTATTTGCATTTTGTGAATTCTTGAAAATGTTATTTTGCTTTTACTTATGAAATCATACATTAAGATTCAAAATCTAAATCAAGTCTTCATTTCTGGTGAGATCAGGTTTTGTTCTTCCCATTCTTACTACAAGCATGGGCAGATAAAAGAAAAAAAACCCAAATGTAAGTATTATTTTTGCCTGGAAAATGCCCATGATAACACAGGCAGGTGATTCACTGGCACCAGGAAGGGGTGATAATCTTCAATAAAACATACCTGAGTGCAGAGTGGACTAAAAAAAAAATCTGCTGTAAGAATGCTATATTAAATGATTGCTGCACCCCATAAGCTTTAAAATTAAGACATTTGCATCATGGTGACAAACCCTGTTAATGTATGTGACAGAATTGTGCTCCAGTTAAATTTCTCTGTGGGATTTTCAGTTGGCTCTTTCTAGAGCCCTGTGCAGATTCAATGGATGCTGCATTTCCTTCCTGTCTTGAATTGCTGTGTAAGGTGCCTGGGAGCTTTTAAAGTCACTGTTGCTCAATAGGGTGGCAACATTTTATTAAGGAATAATATGTACACCTCGAGAAAATACATCCTGGTGAGAAATTCCTGCTGTCACTGTCATTGTTAGTTATTCTGAGGGATGTGCTTTGTGTCTCAGATTGGAGATGGTGAAGGTTAAAATATCCAACTTCGCTGTAAGCCCTGAGTGCAGCTGCAATGGGTTTGTGTTTAGTATTCAGACAGCAATGCCAGAATCCTACACTCAGATAAAAGATGTGACAGGAGGTGGGGAAAAAAACTTCTCCTCTTGCACTTGCCATCAAACTGCAGCAGGTGAGTGATGGGAAAATGCCAGGAAATAGCAGAAATATCCATGGAGACCCCCAAAAACTCCATCTCCGTGACAGAGGTGATAGATTCAGCTCTTGGTGTGCCTTTGAGGTAGAATTTCTTGTATGATTACTGCAGTTAAGAAGATTACTGGCAGCTGTAAAATCCTGCATGCACTCAGTTGTCTGAGAACAGTAACATTTTCAGAAAAGAGCTCTGAAATCAGCTCTTCATTCTCCTGACGTTCATCCCAAGGAAGCTCTGCCACGAAGGTCAGGTAGAAGAGTTGATTTGTTGGGGCTGTGTGCATTTTGGTGACAAAAGAGAAAATATAATTTATTGTTTGGCTATTTATGTAAACTAAATTCCCACAGAAGTGGATACATTTCTGGTAGTTTGATGACCTGTGACAAAGCAGCCTAGTAATTAATTTCAAAATGCTGCAAACCCCAAGGCAGAGTCCCAAGAATGGGCAAATGCCCAGAGAAGCAGCAAGGTTTGGCTAAAGGGAAAACATGTTTGTCTAAATTTTTACTTCTAATGTGTCACTTTAATTCTCTCCAGAGACAATGGGACTTTTTGTAAACAAGGATGTAAAAGAAGGATTCAGGGAGAGCTCAGAGCCCCTTTTGGGGCCTGAAGGGGCTCCAGGAGAGCTGCAGAGGGACTGGGGACAAGGCCTGCAGGGACAGGACACAGGGAATGGCTCCCACTGCCACAGGGCAGGGCTGGATAGGAGACTGGGAATCAGGAATTGCTCCCTGGCAGGGTGGGCAGGCCCTGGCACAGGGTGCCCAGAGCAGCTGGGGCTGCCCCTGGATCCCTGGCAGTGCCCAAGGCCAGGCTGGGCAGAGCTTGGAGTGACCTGGAACAGTGGAAAGTGTTCCTGCCCACAGGTGTGGAATAAGATGAGCTTTAAGATCCCTTCCAACACAAACCATTCTGGGATTCTGTGATTCTATGGATTTTTCAGAACTGTATTTCCAGCCCCAGGCACTCCCACTTGACTTCTACAAAGCTCATGTTGCTTTTCGGAACACTCACAGTTGTTATTTATAGAAAAGCTTTTAAGGGAAGTCTCAGATGCTGTAACTGTGGGCTCATTCCAGAGAATCTAAAGCTCAGTTGATCAGCCTCTCACATTTTCTTACTTCAGGTAAAGCAAGATTTCAGAATTATTTAAATAGTTTTTAAATAGTTTTTAATGTTTTTAATTCTTTGCCGCTGATGTTTGCTGTTAAAAACCTGACTGCAATATATTCATTTTTGTGATGGGTTTCCTTTCTCATCTCTTGCATTGACAGATGAATCTGGACTGCAAGATCCCTGTTAGGAAGGTAAGTTGGATGCTTTAGAGACTGTAAGCTGCCAGGAACTCTTTCCTGTAGAAGAAGAAATTCTTCTCTGTGAGGGTGGGCAGGCCCTGGCACAGGGTGCCCAGAGCAGCTGGGGCTGCCCTGGATCCCTGGCAGTGCCCAAGGCCAGGCTGGGCAGGGCTGGGAGCACCCTGGGATGGTAGAAGGTGTCCCTGCCATGGCAGGGGTGGCATGGGATGGGTTTTAAGGTCCCCCCCAACCCAAACCATTCTGGGATTCAGTGACTCTGTAATGAAATGATGCACAGGTAGAGAAGTGCAGTTAATACCAGTTTGCTGAATGTCCCTGACAGTGGGATACTGAAGATTCTCACTGCAATTAATACTTTTAAACTACTGAGAGATGTGGACTACCTTATTATACTTCTATGATTAATAACTCCAGAAATTCTGTTGATGTTTCTCAGATTTAAGTGAGAAACATCAAAGTGAGAGGAGCACAGAACCATAGAAAATCCTGAGCTGGAAGGGACCCTCAGGGATCGTTGATCCAGCCCTGTCCCTGCACAGCCACCCCAACACCCCCACCCTGAGCACCCCTGGGAGCTCCTGCAGCTCTGGCAGCCTTGGCACCATTCCTGGGCAGTCTGGGCAGTGCCCAGCAGCCTCGGGGGGCAGAACCTTGCCCTGAGCTCCAGGCAGTCCCTGCAGGACAGTCCTCGTTCATTTGCTTCTCCACACTGACAGTGGGAGGTTGGAATGTCCCACCAAAGGAGAGTCCTCCTATCTGTGAGTGAAGTGCTACATGTGCTCAGTGATTCTATGTGCCATTGACTCCTCTGTCCCATTCTTTATTGCCTATGTGGAAAACAAAAGAATTTTTTGTAGCACATAGAATTGTACAGTGCATGACTCAAGCCCTCTCCCATCCTGTTTGCTCAGTTGTTCTTGGTTTGATGCAGCAGGAAGGGTCATTTACATGTAATTACTTATTTTTCATTAACAGTTGCAATTTTCTTGACTGTGCAATGAGACCATTGGCTTTCTTGATCAATATCAAATAAGCAAACATTAAAACCCTGCAGTTGCTCATGTTAAATATGATGAAAGGGAACCCAGTTTGAGATTAAATTAAAATTGCAGTGGCCAGTCTTGCCTGAAACCTCTGTGACTCAGGGCAGAAGGCTGATGTAGAAGGCTTCAGCTTGGACACCAGATTCTTGGTTTCATATTTTCAACAGCACTGGCTACTGTAGCTTTAGGTGAGGTTTTGCAATATAAGCTTAATTTCTGTGTATGGTGTAGTGATGGTGATGAACTTCTAAATAACTTAGAATTCCATCTTCCATGGTGTGTGGGAAGAACTGCAGATTTCTGTGTATTTCCTCCATATAACTGCCTTCATTTCAGTTGAGTTGTTACCATTTTATCTCCTTCTTCTCCTGGCATGGTTTAAAACTGATGGTTTTGAGGGGAAAAAAACCATAATCAGGGCACCTGAAATCTTAAAAGAATACATTTGATGCACACAGTAAAAAGAAGAGAGGTAGAAGAGCAGAGGGTGAAGGTGGTGGAAAAAATTACAAACAAGAAATGCTGCATAGTAATCATATTGCATGTATGAAATAATGCTGATATGATTGCAATTTTTACCTGTAATAAGTCCCGGGTTAGTCTGATATCTTGCATTTTAAATAGTCCATTGCAGGTATTTTTGTTGTACTATAATTCTCCAAAATTGTACAACAAACAACAGGACAAGAGGAAAGAGCCTCAAATGGCAGCAGGGGAGGTCTGGGTTGGATCTAGGGGAAAGCTTGATGGAAATGTGGTCAGGCAGTGGCACAGGCTGCCCTGGGCAGAGCTGCAGTCACCACGCCTGGAAGCGTGGCTGGGGCACCTGGGGACAGACATGGGTTAGTGGCAAACATGGAGGTGGTGCTGGGCTGGTGGTTGTGCCTGATGATCCTGGAGGTCTTTTCCCACCTTAATGATTCTGTGATTCCATAACCATCACAGAAATTGCAGCGTTGTGTAAGAGTTGAGTTGCCTGTAGCAACAGTTCCTTTCCTTCTGTTATGTTTCCTTCCCTCCCACTCTTTGCTCTAGAAGAAACTCTTCCCACAGCAAAACATATAGAGAGATATAATAAAGAAAAAAGAATAAATGAATCCCCCACACACTCTGGTATCATGTGTATCCTTCAAACATTTTGTCACTTTAGATTTCTGCCCTCTGGCCTGAAGTGCCTGAAGCTGCCAGGTTTTGCTGTGTGGGTTTGGGGTGTTCCCCCCATCCTCTGGAGCAGGAATCCTGGGCTCCAGGAGCTGGTTGGGAGCTGTTTGTACAGCAAGGTGCAGACATGGAGACATTTCCTTCTCAGTGGTTTGGAACAAAGCTGGCCAAGCTGTAACACAGCTTTGGTGCTGTCATAGTGGTGCCTGAAAAAGGAGTGCAGTAGAGAGAACCAGAACTGGACACTTGGGTTCTTGGGTGTGACACCAGCAGGCAGCAAGAAAATTGCCACAGGCTTCAGCTTCATGTATTTGTTAAAGGCTGGGGGAGCTGGGCCAGCTCACCTGGACAGGAGAAGGCTCCAGGGACACCTCAGAGCCCCTTTTGGGGCCTGAAGGGGCTCCAGGAGAGCTGCAGAGGGACTGGGGACAAGGCCTGCAGGGACAGGACACAGGGAATGGCTCCCACTGCCACAGGGCAGGGCTGGATGGGAGACTGGGAATCAGGAATTGTTCCCTGGCAGGGTGGGCAGGCCCTGGCACAGGTGCCCAGAGCAGCTGTGGCTGCCCCTGGATCCCTGGCAGTGCCCAAGGCCAGGCTGGACAGGGGCTTGCAGTGACCTGGGATAGTGGAAGGTGTCCCTGCCATGGCAGGGGGTGGCACTGAATCATCTTTAAGGGTCCCTCTCAACCCAAACCATTGTGGAATTCAGTGATTCTTCATTTAAAGTTCTGTTTCAAATCACTCTTCACTTCCTTCAGGCTATGTGGAGTATTTGCATGGCATTTTAGAACTTACTGAAAAATGTTGTTTCTGCATTGTTTATTGTGAAATGAGGCTGTTTTTTCTTTAAGTACATTTCTGGGGGGTGTAAAGAAGATTCTGTTTAGACATTCTGGGATAAAGGTCATAGGCCATACAAAAATGTATTGGAGAGGGGTGTATTTCAAAGCTTTCATGGATGTTTACATAGATGCATTGCTTTGTAGAATCAGAATCCCAGAATGGCTGGGCTGGAAGGGACCTTAAAGCTCATCCAGTTCCACCCCCTGGACAGGGACACCTTCCACTGTCCCAGGGTGCTCCAAGCCCCATCCAACCTGGCCTTGGGATCCAGGGGCAGCCCCAGCTGCTCTGGGCACTCTGTTCCAGAGCCTCAACACCCTTATAACCAAAAATATTTCTTCCTATATCCCATCAAAACCCATCCTCGTTCAGTTTAAAGCCTTTCCCCGTTGTCCCATCACTACATGAGCACTGTGTGAACTATCCCAGAGCAGCATGTCCTGAGCTCTGCTGGAGCTGGGGCTGTCCCCTGGGCACTCAGTGCTGCCATAACCTCATGCCTTGATTGTGGTCTTTGCTCTGCCATCCAGTTATCATCCCCTGTTAGTGGTAAACCAGAAAGATCAGGAAGTGTTAAAATATCCTGAGCACTTTCTATCCTGACCTAAGTCAGATCAAAAGAGGATGAAAAGGTTAATCTGCTGCAAAAATATTTCCTCATTAGAAATTAGGAAGTAAGGCCATTGGATACTGCCACAAGTGCTGCTAGTAATGGGAGCCAAGTTATGATGCCAGATACTGAAAATTTTAACTGATGGAGCAGTCCCCACTCAGGGCAAGTGGCACAGCTGGCTGAAAAACCAACCAAATGTTGGACAAGCCCCTGTGTGCTGCACAAAACCCCCCAGCACAGACACTGCAGCCAGGGCCTGGTATGCCCCATGAAACAGCTGCCCTGACATGGGGGCTGGGTGTCACCAACTCACGTGTTCAGCTGCACCTGAGCATCTTCCACTTGTCCCTTGAGCATGCCCAGGCTCTGCTTTCATGCTGGGGCAGAGATTTGGGCACTGTTATTTGCTCTGCACAGGATAAGGGAAAATACCTCTTGTGTCAGCCCTGTTCCATGGGGCTGCTGGGGACAGAGGGAATCGCTCCTGGAGGCAGCAGAGTGGCTCCTGGTGATGCAGAGAGGGAGATGAGGTGTACAAAGTACCTGAACCAGGGCTGGACACAGCCCCTCACAGAAGGGGGAGCTTAAGGCACCACCTGAAGCTTATTCAGGGCGAAAGAGGCTTTCAAATGATCCTCTCTGCAAATGAACCAACAATTACCTGCAGAGCTGCCTTCACTCTGTGCCCTCAACAGCAGGAGGATGTGGAGCTGCTGGAGCCAGGCCAGAGGAGCCACAAATGTGCCCCAAGGGCTGGAGCCCCCTGCTCTGGAGCCAGCCTGGCACAGCTGGACCTGCTCACCTGGACAGGAGAAGGCTCCAGGGACACCTCAGAGCCCCTTTTGGGGCCTGAAGGGGCTCCAGGAGAGCTGCAGAGGGACTGGGGACAAGGCCTGCAGGGACAGGACACAGGGAATGGCTCCCACTGCCACAGGGCAGGGCTGGATGGGAGATTGGGAATCAGGAATCGTTCCCTGGCAGGGTGGGCAGGCCCTGGCACAGGGTGCCCAGAGCAGCTGTGGCTGCCCCTGGATCCCTGGCAGTGCCCAAGGCCAGGCTGGGCAGGGCTTGGAGCTCCCATGGATAGCCAGGACAGGGGTTTAGAAAGGGATGTTATTCACAGTCTGTTCCAACACCAATCATTCTGCAATTCTGTGATTCTGTATTTCTGGGTGGAAATATAAATCTTTGCTGTGATAAAGCATGTTTGAACTCAGTGATGTTCCTTTAAATGCTGGAGATTGGATGTCAAAGACATGTCTACTTTTATGACTTATTTCCATTTTCTGGTTCCCTTTTTGAAGGGAACCAGAAAATGAAATGCAGAGCAGACTCCTCAGGCTGGAAGGTACATTTCTGTTTAATCCAATGGTATTGTCCAAGAGGACTGAAAGGGGTTGAGTTGCCAAAAGAGAGCCTGTGGATTTGGGATTGCTAATGCCCAGATCCTGCTGAGCTGACGGGAGATGGGTCTTTTTGTACAAAATGTGTGCTGTTCCTGATGAATATTGTTGCCCATCTCTCCACCTCCAAACTCTGCTCCTTTGGATAACCTGGATTTTGTCAGGAATGGCACTGCTCGGTAATTTGCTCTGTAGGATGTTGAGCCTCGCTCTCCCTGGCCCAAATGCAAGATGTCAGGAGGAAAACGGGTGAGTAGGCAAAGCCTCAGCCTAGAATGTGAGACAAATATTCCCATCCCATTCCCATTTACTCAGTGAGTTGGGAAGGGCTGCACAGTCCCAAGGCTTTGGCTCTGTAGCTTTGGGAGGCACCTGGGCTCAGCTGCACCCACCGAGCCAGGCGGTGCCTCTGCTGCCCCAGAGATTGGAGAAGGCAATGCTGAGTTAAAGGCTCAGGCTCTGGCTGGGTGGCATGCACCACGATGGAAAGGGGACACCAGCTCAGGCAGAAGCACGTGGGAATCTCTGCTGGCTGTGCAGCAGGATGGGAAAAGCCCATTTAGTACATCTGAGGGAGTGGCTCCCTGTGCGTGGCGCCGAGTTCTTCGGCCATGGTCGTGTCTGTAACAACGGCCGGATGTGGCAAAACCCAAAACCACAAAACATTTCTGTTTGTCACAGGGAGCCTGGTGCAGATCCTGGGAGTTCAGCACAGAGCTGTAAGGATGAACTCATGTGTAATTCTCCAGCCTGAACAGACCAGGTTTCTAAGGATCCATCCCTACAAATACAGGGAATAATGCAAGGAGTGCTCCTGAGGAAACACCCCCCAAGAATCCTATGAACAGTCTGGCTTGAATGGCTTGGGGAAGTTGTTTGTGTATGGAAAAAATAACCAGGATCTGAAAGTACCTGCTGGCTTGGATTAGTTTTCTTCTACACTGCCTTTGCCCTCGAATTGCCCATGTTTTCTGAAGGCTTAAACACCATTCATTAATTTTTTTTTTAAGTACAACCAAAAAGATCCCAAGACCCCTGAATGAATCTGGTGTTTGCCTATAACTGCATTTTCTTCTTTTTCACCATTTTACTCAGAATACTGGAAATGCTGAACATTAGTGCAGAACTGGTGTCTGGTTTTGTGGCTGGGATGATGAGCTGCAGAGGTGGTTTTCCCTCCCCACTCACGTGGATGCTGCAGGATACAGATAAGCTGCTTCTGTTTGACAGCAGCACTCATTTAAAGCTTTCTGTATCATTGCCTGTCCCAACCCGTGGTGCCTCTGGATTGTCACCCCCGGAGGAACAGCGAAGAGTGGCCTGGATCAGCCTGCTCTGAGGCTCACAGAGTCGGTGTTGAGACAAGATTACGCCTGGGGATCCCTGGTCCCAGCTCATCCTCCCCTGGGACTCGGTCCCCCTGGAGAGCTGTTGCCACCAGAGGCAGCCACTCCATTGTCACTGCTCTGGCCAGGCCAGCAGTGGTGACAGCAGCTGTCCCTGTTTGCAGGGGGAAACTGATTTCCCCACGGAGCCACAGGGAACAGGATCTGGTGAGCTCCAGTTCCCTGCTAGGGAGGGCGTGTAACTGTGCCCTCAAAGGGCAGAAGTTGCTCTCAGTGTTGTCAAATAATGACTCATTTCTGATGGAAGTTTGAGGGCGCAGGCGGCGCCAGCGCAGGGACCGCCCGGGCGCTGCATCACAGCCTCGGCAGCAGAGAAATCAGGAAATCGGCCCCAGCTCTGCCGGGGAGCTGCTCTCGCACGTAGTGCTCGGCTCTGTGTAGGACAGAGACTGCCCAGGAGCTCAGGGATCCCAGCCCAGGCTCAGCTGTGAGCTTCCCTGGCCCCGCCGTCCCCGGCCCCTCATGGGCACCACTGAGGTAAGAGCCAGGCCCGAGGGGTGCTGAGGGCAGCCGAGGGTTCTGTCCTGCTGTCCCCTGGGGCACAGGGAGGGATGGGCACGGTGCTGAGCCTGGTGGGCAAGGGGGAATGCCCGGGTGTCCCCCGTTTTCCAGCAGAGGTGCTGCAGCTGCCCTCTGTCCCAGTGACACCAGTGCTGCTGGAGGGAGAGCCCAGCGCGGCTCCATCGCAGCCGGGGCCCTCCTGTCACAGCTCTGGCACCTCCTCGCCTGGGGTAACTCTGTGCACTGGGAATAAGCTTGAGCTCTCCAGTCCAGGGTTGGGACAGCTTTACCAACCCCCACTACCTTTCTGTGCTTCTCATTGCAATTACTCAGGTTTACCAATTCATAAAAGTACAGAACAGCCCCAAAACAAAGAAGGGAGCAAATATCTCCTGTCAGGCTTTCTGCCTGCACACTCTGCTTGTGGGAGCATTCATTCCAGTGATGGGAATCTCATGGATCAAACACCTCCAGGAACAAAGAGCTGCTTTAGGAGCAGGCATGTGAGTGTCACCAGGAGGGAGGTGATTCACTGCTGTCCCTGCTGGTGCCTGGGCGAGGCACTGGCTGCTGTCCAGGCTCTGCTGGCAGCAGGTGTCCATTGGGGGTGTGTGTCCATCACCCCGAGCCCCAGGGCCGGCTGGGCAGAGGAGAAGCTCTTCCCTTTGGTATTTGAGTAGAGGATCTGTCCCTTCCCAGCACCAACTGCTGTCTGCGCACAGGGGCAGGACTGACCAAACAGCTGCTGCTTTTCACCCAGAATTTCTGTCCTTGAGCAGCAGAAAATGAAGGAGAGTTGTCAGAACTGCCATCAGCCCTCCTGGCTCAGCCAGCACAGCCCTCCTTGGACAGGATGGACCTTGGCAGGGGAATGGAGCAGACTCTGTGCTGAAGCTCTGTGTTCATGAGGTCCTTGGCATCCTGGAATTGATCTGAGCTGCACCAGTCACAGCAGCCTCTGGTGTGCAGCTGGAGACCAGCTCACAGTGGCTGCCTGTGCAGCCCCAACTTCACCAAGACAACATGTGTGCCATAGATGGGCTGCAAGGCGAGGGGATGGCTTCTGCCAGAGACAGAACTGCTGCCTTCCAATGCTAATCTCGTAGCAGCTACAATTGTCCCTGTTTTGTTGTTGTGGATATGGGCTGGCAGGATCAGACAGTCCTTAGATCCACACTGCCACAGAGAGGAGTTTACAGCAGTGATGCAGAGCAGTGATTGTGAGTCACCTTCCAAAGAGCAAAGTCATCTCTGCTCCAAGGAGCTCATCCCACAGTGTGGGCAGCAGGGCAAGGGGGGGATGCTGCCCCTCTGCTCTGCTCTGATTCGACCCCAGCTGCAGAGCTGCCTCCAGCTCTGAGACCCCAGCAGAAGAAAGACATGGAGCTGCTGGAGCCAGGCCAGAGGAGGCCACAAATGTGCTCCAAGTGCTGGAGTCCCTCTGTTCTGCAGCCAGGCTGGGAGAAGAAAAGGCTCCAGGGAGAGCTCAGAGCCTCTTTTGGGGCCTGAAGGGGCTCCAGGAGAGCTGCAGAGGGACTGGGGACAAGGCCTGCAGGGACAGGACACAGGGAATGGCTCCCACTGCCACAGGGCAGGGCTGGGTGGGAGACTGGGAATCAGGAATTGTTCCCTGGCAGGGTGGGCAGGCCCTGGTACAGGGTGCCCAGAGCAGCTGCAGCTGCCCCTGGATCCCTGGCAGTGCCCAAGGCCAGGCTGGGCAGGGCTGGGAGCAGCCTGGGACAGAGGAAGGTGTCCCTGCCATGGCAGGGAGTTGAATTAGATGGGTTTTAAGGTCCCTCCCAAACCATACCATTCCCCGATTCTATGATCTATGATTCTATGATCCCAAGGAGGTGACAGTGGGGATGAAGGAGGAAAAGACCCACAATTTTAAATTGCAAAGCTGTCATATGCATCCCAGCATGACCAGCTGGTGTCAGGGCAGCACAGGGACATTGTGCAATGATCCCACAGCCGGTGCATGTGACAGTCCCACCTCAGCCCAGCCTGGCCTGTGTCCCCAGTGCCAGGCAGCCCCCGCACCAGCCCTGCTGCTTTCCACGTCAGCAGGGCCACGGCTGCTGCCCCTGGTGACTCGGAGCTCCTGAAAGAGGAGGTGAAAAAGCAAGTTCCTGGTAAAACCACATCACTCCCACACAGCTGTGGTGCTGGGCTCCTGCTGTGCCTGCAGAGCTGCTGAGAGCTGGGGCTCCTCCTTGGTGGCAGAGAGCAGGAGTGCCGGTCCTGCTCCCATCCGTGTGTGGGGCAGGAGTGTCCCCAGGACACAGCTGGCACAGGCAGAGCTTGCAGCCTTTTCCTCCATCCCGCGGTGCGAGGCTGTGTGAGGGACAGGAGCTGCATTGGCCAGGGGAGTCTGTGGGACAGCAGCCGTGACCTGGGCCAAGCCAGCTCAGCCTGTCCCTCCACAGCCCCTTTGGTTTCTTCTGCAGGTGGCAGCAGGAGAGGACAGGGAGTCCCTGATGCGCTGACGGTTGGCCATGTCTGGGGTGAGCGGGGCAGCACAGGGGCACCAGCAATGCCAGCTGACACCGGGGACCCTGCGGTGCCCCCAGGACCGAACTGGGGTGGAGGAGGACTCGTGCCCAGTGCCCCTGGTCCCCAGCCAGGATTTCAGAGGGTCCTTGGGGCTGGCCCTGGTGCCGGGGGGAAGCAGAGGGGTCCAGCTCTCGCTGTCCCCACCAACACTGTTTGTCCTTGCAGAAGCACTGGCCCCCCGGCACGCAGTGTGTCACCAAGCATGACCACAGCAAGCCCAAGCCCCGGGAGCTGGCCTTCCGCAAGGGGGACATGGTCACCATCATCGAGGCCGTGGAGGTGAGACCCGCGGCTGCCCGGGGACGCTCTGCTCAGCTGCCAGAGCCAGTCCCTCCCTTCCCAGAGGGATCGCCCTTCCTTGCCCTGCCCTGAGACCCTCTCGTCCCCAGGG